GAGGTCATCAGGCAGAGGGATAATCAGTGCTGCGAAATGCGGAGACCTGGCGCAGGGGGGAGGGACGGGGTGGGGAAACCATCGCCACATGTGTTTCAGGAATTTTCTAAATTCTTGGGGTGCTACCTGGTAGGAAAAATCATGTTACTTTCTGTATGTTTATTATAACCTCTCCCAAACACCTGCCTTCCAGCCCCGGCTGGAGGCGGGATGTTGTCAGCTTCCATCCCTCCCTTCTCCTGTGTGGTTTGGCTGACCTTGCACATCCCTGCTGTACTGGGCAACTCTGGTGTCAGGGAGATTGTTCACCAAAAAAACAATGGATATTGAATAACTGTGATGGCAGAATTGAATTGAACCTTGTGAGCACTTGTTAACATAATACATGAGCTTTCGTCTTGCTAAATTATATGTATTTAGATCAAGACAGTATTCCTTCTGATTGTTATAACCTCAAAATCTTTTACATAGGAGAAAACATGTGCAGCCCCAGCAGCATAAGAATGCAGACAACTGCAGCATGACTGACAGCAATAAGATCAAACCATGAATGTCTTCTCAAAAATGAGTCTTTGCTGACTACATGGAAAAACATTAAAAATATATATGAAATAATGGAGGCCCAAGAATCTCTTCCCATGTGTTTGTCTCTTTCCTTTCCGAAACAAAACTTGGCGATCAGCAGCAGCAGGTATTTAGGTGTTCATCTGAAGTTATTCAGTCTTCCACACCGATGGGAGCAATAGGGTCTGATGGACTTCTGGCTCAGCACATTACTAATCAGTGCACCAGAAATGTGCCTGCATCATATAGTTTCTCTTTATACAAAAAACAAGAAAATAACCTGACAATGAAAGATCTAAGAGAATGGTGACTCTGAGCTATCTTTGGTTTGTGTTTTCATACCAGTATTAACCGGGGATTTCCTAGAGCAGACAATATTGATTTTTATTTTTATTCTGAACAAACAGAAGCTAAAATCCTTCTGAAAGGGAGATCTAAGAAAACTTCCTTTTCAGAAGTTTTTCAGTATTTTCCAAACAAAACTCTGTCTCACGATCAGAATCATGATTTGTAGCTGGGATCCAGCCGGCATCCCCTTCCCAGCTGCACCGGGACGTGTGGTGCCTGGGGCTCCTGCCTGAAAAAGCATCAGCAAGCTGTACGTTTTTATGGATCATTTAATTTTAAAATTTATTACCAATGATGTTCTACATTTATTTAAAAAACAAACAACCAAATAAAAAAAAAAAATCCCCAATAAAACACAAAACACCAAGCAAAAGGTAGGAAAGCCACACTAAGAAGCGTGAAGGTGGTACTTTTTGGAAAAAACTTTCTACGTGACTCAGGCCTTTGTTGGTCTTTTATTTGCTCTTTCTGCTTAACTCATAAGAATTAAATATTGTCTCTGTAGTGTGCACACAGTGTGGTACATTAATTTCAAACTCAGTTTTTTGCTAATAATCCTACCCACTCTGAATTAGAAAAAAACCAAATATTTCCACTCCCTTTGAATAATGCAGGAAAATGTTTGCCTCTTACTACAAAGATTTCCAAGGAGCCACTGCATGATGATGTGGAGAAAGGGCTGGATAAAGTACTGTTTCCTGCTATTTAAGGGCTTGCTGACCCCGTGGAACCTGTGGGGTGGTCGTGGCTCTAGTCTTCCACAGGAGAAAATCCATGGTCATGATACATCTTCCCAGTGTCTTTCAGCACCTGAAAGACAAAACCCACGGTCACTGAAAATCTTCCCAACGTCTTTCAATGTGATGGAAATATATGAGACATCAATAGCCTAAACTCAACTTTCAGTTCATGAAAGCTTGTCCAATGTACAGATCCAGTGCGTTATCCTAGTTCCTCTCCCAGAATTTCTCTCTGGTGTCCCCAAAAATAGATTATATCTGCTTACGCCTGCCATGTTCAGTTTATTCCAGGTGCAGCAAATCTCCATCCCTCCCTAGGGCAGGTGTCCCGGCACTGCTAGGAGACTGCCCCGTGGAGCCCGCAGGACTGGAGATTGTCTCAACACACAGGAGAATGGTGATAAAAGTAACAAGTGATCAGTAAAGGAGAAACGTGGGGTAGCATCCGTGCGCAGGTGAGGCCTTGCACAATGTAAGATGGGCAGTCGGGCTTATGCCACAGAATTCCCAAGGGGCAATGGGGGAAGAAATGCCATGTTAAGTCAGCAATGGCAGGATGTCATCATGTATAGGAAAGCATCACATGCGGACCATGTGGAGCAACCACCCTGTTCCACTTGGCAGCATCTCCCTGGTAGTACTGCGTCTCGTGCTGGGCACACTCACTCAGGCAAAGTGTGGGTGAACTGGAGGACTTCCAGGCACCACAAAAAACAAGCACATATTTTGGGAAATGTGATGCCTGAAGTGAGAGAGAGAACTGAGTTACTTTTAGGCTGAGTTTGTGTAGATAAATGAGGACTGAGAGAATGAGTGCACAAGTCTTTAAATGGGTAAAAGTTTTCTTCAAAGAGAAATTTAATCCTGCTCTTTATATCACAGGGGACAAAAAAAGTAACAGCTTAAAACGGCAGCAAGGTGCGTACCTATAACTGTGTGGATAAGTAAGTACCAGTGCGTTGCCATCCAGGCAGGCTGTCAATCTCCCTGGAGCTTTGAAACCTCAGGATGGAGGGGTCCATCGGGACCACCTGGGCTGGCCCCGCTTTGGGCAGGCGGGTGGACCAGGTCCCCCCAGCAATCCAGAACCACAATGTCAGACAGGCACAGGTAAATGGGGAAACAAGCTGGTATTTCTCTGAACACCAGGGGTCTGGGCTCAGTGCCCTGCAGCCGGGAGGCCCAGGACCTGCCTGCTCACGGTGGGGCTCCCCGGCCATGGTCACACATGAACTAAAGGTGGAGAAATGCCCTAGGGGTTATGTTGCAGTGTTCACATCTTTCGTACAACTTGAGGGAAGCAGTGGAAACGCTGGCAGGCAGTTTCCAGTGCCAGGGTGGGTGGAAACCACATGTGAGAGGTAGACCCCCTCCTGGTCATAGTCCAGCTTTCAGCAACCTCCATTGACTGCGTGCCTGTGCAGTAGACGTTCATTTTCTTCTATCATCCAGGTGATGCTTTTGTATGGTTTATCTTGCACAATTTTAGTATCATTCTTCTGAATGTTTCAGAAGCACAAGCTGATTCATGACCTTTGTGGTGCTCTGAGTAGCTGCTGGTGCCACATGGTGCTGTAGGAGCAGAGCAGAGGCAAAATGTTACCAGTTCGCAGCTCTTCATGTGATCAGTCTCAAAGTTATTTTTTAAAAGTCTTGGCTGTGCAAACTGCTTCATTTCTCAGGAAGGAGTAAGCTTTATACATCCCTGTTATTTTTATGGAGTAACACAATCTTTTTTTTTTCCTATGCAGACTATGGAGAAGTAGTCATGCTAACTGGTTATACGTTTATTATCCACTTGAAATTTTAAAGCTACCAATTGAAAGTTAATGAATTTATGGATTGGTTTTATGTAATCATTGACAAGAGAAAGTTGAAGGCAGAGGGTGTGCTTGCCAGCTGTGGGAAATTGTAGTCTGTCTGTCTGCCTGACTCGGGGTAGGATGTGAGCAATGGGTGAGAACCAGTTCTCTGTTTAATCCCACCCAAAACATCCTCACACGGTTTTGTTAAATATCAAGACTTATGTGTAAGTGCTAAGAATGTGTGTTTGCTTTCCCTGGGCTGTGACATCTGGATTCCTGCGTGATGTCCTAGACATCTGGAAAAGCAGTCGTTGATGGTGTTGGTAAAGGACAGGTGTGCAATGAGATGTGCGATGGAGCTGACCCACCCATGCAGGGAACCTGGCTGTCACTCTGCTCTTTCATGTATCTGATGCTTCTTTAGTGTGGCTGGTTCCTGTAAAAGATTATGGTCTCCTAACGTGGCGCGCTGAGCGATGGGTGAGATGGTGAAAGAAGCAGTCAAGAGGCAGTCAGCATTTTACATGTACATAAACACCTTAAAGCAACATCTGGAAAACTGCTTGGGAAAAAATAAACAGATTTTTATTTATAAGTTCTGTGGTTTGTTTTTTATAGCATTTTTATTATGCACATAAATTATTGTTTAAAAACAGAAAATGTAAAAGAGATTCCAGGGAGAAGGCAGTTGTTGTTCAGCCTTTCCTTTGATAATCAGTTTCCTAAGGAATTTGTTGTGTTTTATTTTCAGCTTACAGTTGCCTTTTACTGGCAACTGGAAAAACTGACAATTGCTTTTTATCTTTATTTGTATCTGTAGTTCTAAGCTTAAAATGTGTATTGCTATTTACAATGTTTACTATTTAAAAAGACAAAATATATTTACTGAAACAACTCTATACCTAGTGTAATACTGGAAAAGTCACGCTGTTATATGGTATTTACAGTTGTGAAGGTAAGTTTGTTCTTTTAATATGCAAAACAAGATCTCAAAGCCCATTTGAGCCCATGCGGTTTATGGGGCGTTTGCAGAAGACATGAGGCAGAAGATAAGTGGTGCTGGCCATGTTCTCTTTGCTGTGGACCCTGCACCCCAGGCACTGCCGTACTCCTCCCCAGCTGTGGGGGCTCCACCCGGCCGAGTCCAGTGGGACCCCACAGCCTCTCAGCCGGCATCAGTGTTGGGGCTTCATGTGCTTTTTTCTGATTCTCAGGTTTTAGATACATCTTGTATAACATTAACGCTTATAAATAGTTATACCTTATGTTGAGTCACTGAGTTGGAAAAACAGCTTTTTTTGAGTATGGGATTGATATTTCTTCATGTCTCAGTTGTGTTTTTTACACCAGATACACAGATCTGTATCAGAATCTGCTGTGTGGGATAATTTTTACACTGCTGGAAGAAAACGTGATTGAATGTGAACCAAGCTGGAAAACATGCGCCAGGCTGAGAGTAACGTAAAGCGTGCTGAAGAGAAGTGGCGTTAAACAATCTGCGTATCTAGATGCAAATATCCATTTTACAATTCTTTTTTTTCAGTTGCCCCCACAATTCAGGAACTTAAATCCAGCGGTGTGATGCTTGGAGGGAATGGACTGATACGGTGCGAAGGTGCAGGAGTTCCTGCCCCGGTCTTTGAGTGGTACAAAGGAGAGAGGAAGTAAGTAGCCGGTGCTTACTGACCCACTCATGCTGCTGGGGATGCTGCTCGCCTGTGGGGACCCGGGTGGAAGAGAGAGGAGACCGCCGGGCTGGGTTTGTCCCCCGTGATGACAAGTCCAGCAGGCTGTCCTGAAATTAATGCTGAGCTTTAAACAGTGGGTGCTTGGAGGCGTTGGGTACCAACAACCGTTCTGCACGGCTTTTAGGGGAGTTTCCCGGTTTCCTTGTGGTCGTAGTTTCTGTGCTCAAAAACGTGGCACAATCAGGCTGTCCGTGGCTGGGCTGTGATAGTGATAATTCCAATAATGAGCCTAACGTTTAAACATGCTTTAGTAATTACAGTCCTTTAAGTATAATAACCAGAAAGGCACTGAAAAAGTCTACTAAAAGGATCTTCTATTTTTTTTAAATTCATCTTCATAGGTTTCCCACTGAGGGTTTTGGGCGTGGGAAGGTCAGTTCATGAACAAGACTTTCAACCAAACCTTAATGTGTATGAATTTTCACCCAGTTGTGCCATTAGTGGTCTAGACCACAGGTTTATAGTCCACAGACTCAAGTAAAGCTGCCGCACTTCACAGCATCCAAGAGGGGGTCAGGGGAGCGGTCTCTGCTCAAACCCTAGAAACTAACCATGTGCTTTGGTTTTCCTTACAGTCAGTTTCATTTTCAGGTTGTTAGTACTATATAATGATAACAGGCATCTCTGCAGAGTCATCTTTATTTTAAAAAGCAGCTCATTAAACAGGTAGATGTTTTTCTTTTTGAATAGGAAATTTTGTTTTACAGCTCTTAGGTTATCTAAGAGCTTGTTTCTGTTAAGTTTACATATTGGTGCAAAAGCAAGTGGATATTGTCCTTTGTAAGCGACTGTCCATATGCACCTTCTAGCTTCTGGAATTTCCTGGCTTCCAAGGGCTGGGTTTCTCAGCTTGAATGTCCCATTAAACCTGGGAGTTGGCATGAGAATATTAATGACCATTTTTCAGAGAAAGCCATCTGTCAGTTCATTTCTCACTGGCCAGCTGCTCTCCTTTAGGAGCATTAGCTGCTCATCTTCCTTTGTGAGTTTTCAGAGCAGTTGTAACTATTGCACTTTGACTGTATCCTAAAGCATTCTCTAAAACAATATAATCGATCTTGACTATATATAACAATAAATGTTTTTCTTCTGTTGGCGAAATTCATCTGCATCCTATTTCCAAAGATGCATGTTATATTGTACACATGTTCGGGGGGTAGCTGCAGCAGAAATGTTAGGTAGAAAGTATTGCAGGTTTTAGCACTCCGGATTCAATTAGCCATTTCCAGCGTGATAATCACCTTTCTATTTATAAAATTGACCAATTCCTTTCTTCATGACCACATTCGGTGCTGTGGCAGCAGCAAGAAGGACTAAGCAGAGCATTTCAGGATGCCAGAGTTGTGCTTTCTGTTTTCTGTTTCAGTTGATGTATCACCTGAGGCTTGCTATAACCAGCAAGAAATGTACTGTCCTATTGCATCTTACTGCTCAAATATTATGTTAAATCTAATGGGCCATCCTTTTTTGCTAAACTGTTGTTGACAGATATGCTAGACATATGTGATTACAAAGGTACTGGAAATCTCTGAACCTCCACCACTTGCAGGAAAGAGGACAATACATACACATTGGTTTTTCTCTCCAGTATATCCCCTTTACCTCTGGAGGATGGAAAGCCAGCACAAAATGAGCCTTGGACAGCTCAGTCATTGTTTTAATGCAAAACTGAGAAGAGTCTGCTTTCACAGGTAGTTCAGAGTAGCACGTACATTATCCTGCAGAAAATTTGCAGATATACTACAAGACTAAATTTATATACTGGGAGTGCACACCCTGCTTTATTTTCTGCTAATAAAATAGAAAGAATCCTATTTTCTTCAGTCTTGGATTGGGACTTTTCTTTGTGTGTGTGTGAATCTGGATGAATCTTTGAATAAATGAGCAGTGGGAGTTAAATCTGAAACCCCAAGTATACGTTCAGTGTCTGAAACAAGCCTTTTGGGTCTGTAAACTGTATTGTTGTTACTTAGATTAATGTAAATCAAAACCCACGGCTTCCAGACTCCAGGGATTATGTCATCATAAAATAGCCATTAAAACTAAACATAAAAGCAGTCGCAGACTACATCCCGTTAAAACTACTGTTCTTCGAGACAGAGAGCTTGCAGGACTAAACCTACCTAATCATTGAGCTCACAAGTGTTGCTGTTTGTTAACTTTCCGTAAGCATTGGTGCACAAGCGTGCTTTGCAATATTATTCCCTGGCCAAGTGCAAGGCAAGGAGCCCAAAGCCCGAGCGCTGCAGCCCGCCAGAGGCTGTCTTGCTTTCCAGGACAGGGAGCAGGCAGGATGAACATCTCCGCTCTCCTGTTGTAGCTGGGGAGAGGCAAGAAGGGGTCTCACTGGCAGGTTTCAGACCATTTAGCACTTTATCTGTCAAAAGTGGTGCCTTGAACTCCACGCGGGAGCTGTCAAGTGGCTGCACAGAACTTGAGCCGAGGGTACCCCGAGACAGGGAGGGTGGGGTGAGCTGGGAAGGGACTGGAAATTTTGGGGAAAAGTTATTAAAAGCATCTTAAAATTATAAAAGTGTATAGCTTCTAAAACTGTACAAGTATTCCCTACGGAGAAGAGAATGACTTCACTGTGCTGACTCCCAGTTTCTGAAATTCACAACAGTTCAATTATGTTATGTTATAGGGTTATGCAGAAATTAGATCTGAGACATTAAACAGCCACAGGGAAGAAGCCCAAAAGTTGCCTATCTAAAAATATTAATTCCCTTATCCTTGACAAAGAAAACAAGACTTACATTTGAAATAACAAAACTTATTATAATGTCTTAATATAATAACGTGAAGGTATTCAAATATGAAACCAAAGGTAGGTACCCCTCAGGGCTGGCACTGATGCATGACCTTCTTTGGATGCGTAGGCATAATCTCTGGAATAAAAAGGTGATCATTCTTCCCCTTATAACTAGTGGTACAAAGCAGTAAAATGAAGAAAAGTGTAGGGTGGCTGCACACAACTTAAAATGCTGTTCCAGCCTGAGAAGTAACTTGGTAAAACCCAGACAAGTAATAAAGGCCATGTTCAGTCAATAAGCTAAGCAGAGCAGCACACGGGAGTAATTAATTTAAAAGTAAAAGCATCTGGTTGTTACAACTGCAAATGGAAATCCTCAAAACTGATGAGTTTATGCTAACTAATGCCAACTCCTCGGTCTGTTAATTACGTGGCTTATTGATATGCATATCTATCCAATTCCATTTACTCCACTTCCAGTTCTGGCCCCCAGTGTCAGCCACTTCCTAGCAGGGATGTGGAAGAAAGGTGACGCCATCCAAACTATGCTGATAGGAGCAGTGGGAGAGGAAGGAGGGCAAGAGGAGGAGGGGAAGGGGTCTGAGCTGGCACCCACAGCGCTTGTCCTTTCGGCAGCCTGGGGAAGGCAGAAGATCACATCAGGCAGACGCAGTTAAATCTTTGATATGAATTTCGCCTCTGATGGGGCATGGGGATGGCAGAAATCCCAACACCGCACTGTTTTCTGGACAAAAAAAATGAGTTAAACCTTATAGCTGTAAAATAGAGATGCTGCAGTTCAAACTGCAGTTATGGGCCAAAAGGATGGAGGTGGCTTGGAAACAGCTGGTCGGAATAAGCCATAGATGAAAGTGGAGCTATCACTCCAGTACCCCGAGGTCCCCTGGGAGAGGGGACAAGGGGTTTCAAACCCTGAAAGGCAGTGGGAAGGGAAGGCGGCCGTGGCTGCAGCTCGTGCCCTCCCTGCTGGGGAAGGGGCATCCTGAGGAAAGCATCTGACCTGGGGCTCGAGCGAGTAACTAGGGTGCACTGTTGAGTGCCTGCCTGCTCCACCTCCCTGAGCACCACGTGCAGGCATGAGTTGCTGCCACGCTGATAACGCTGTCGCTGGCTATGAGGCACGGCATGCCGGCTCCAAAACACACCATAGCAGGGTGTGTTTTGGAGCAGAGGAGGCTCAGGTTTTTCTGCAGGAGAGGCAGAAAGAGGAGGGAGAGACATTGGCAGTTTTAGAAGGAGCATAAGTTGAAAGGACAAGCTTCTGCCTTTCACAAGTCTGGAGAAAAGATGAATCTTCTAACTGCAGCATTCACCCCAAACCAGGCATTTCAATCCCATTTTTTTATGTTTCTCACAAAACCACGTGTGTCCATGGGTTGCGCTATGTCCTCTCCCTGACGATGGGCTGCACAGAGCAGACCAGAGTCCTTTACAGCAACACAAACTGCACAGGGAAGAGAAGCCCCCTGTATGTGCAGCAGCATATAGTGATTAAATGGGAACAGAGGCACTCATGTAACAATGAGAAATATTCAATCCACAACATGCAGAAGTGCAATTAATGATAGACTTGAAATGGTTTTAGACAGAATGTTAAAAGATTGCATTCATTCCCAGGATATATGATTATATCTTTCAATATATCAAACAAAAATTGTATACTTAATCTGGAACTCTGCTCCTTATGTGAAATATAAGGAATTATGAGTAATCAACTGTAACTAATATTTTAATAACACGGTTACCCTTTTCATCTCCTTGTTTGATCAGAAATGGTTTAACTACAACAGCAGCATTTAAATTGGTCATGTTTCTTTGCCCTGGTGCAGCAGCGGTGCTTCTGACATGGCTTTGGAAGCAGCATCAGAAAACCTGCACAGTTCCTATGAAATTTGGGGTGAGAAGCTCAAAGCCAGGGAAACAGAGCCAGGTGAAAAAAGCCTTGGTTTGGCTTTTTCCTATGCTTTGTTACCTGGTTTCTGTTCAGGTTCCTGTCTCAGGATGCAGTGCTGCTGTAGCACATCTTTTGTAATTGCAAGCCTAATTTGTAGCTGTAGAGGCATGTAAAATAAACTCCGGTCACAATCCTACGTAGTCGCATTTTGGGCTAACTAATCCTCATCTGCCATCAGATGGAGGTGTGTAAGGACACAAGCAATCTCCAGAGTCTGAAAAAAACACTCTCTGAAAGACTTATCACAATACTTTTCTGCCCCAAATGGGGTATTTAAATTTTTAGCTAGGTTTGTCCAATTTAAAATCTAAGCTCTCCATCTGAGAGTTTATATCCTATCCTATGGCCAGGCAGGCAGAGCCATGGGTCTCAGTCTTTATTTTCTTTTGAATGTACAGGACACACAGGCAGAAACTGTTCCCCTCAACACCCCACAGCTCCAGTGTTGCCCATGGCCTCTCCGATCTGCCACTATGATAATTTTGCTCAACAGACTACATCGGTAGCTTGCAAACAGCTTACTGTGCTACCAGTAATGTCTGTAGAAAAAGAAAAAAAAAAAAAAAAGAAAGAAAAAAAGAGGAATTTATTGGTTACAGTATATGAGTTACAGAAATTTTCTTTTTGCTTTCTAGACTGATCAATGGTCAACAAGGAATTACTATTAAAAATTATAGTACAAGATCACTTCTTACTGTTACCAATGTGACAGAAGAGCATTTTGGCAACTATACATGTGTCGCTGCCAACAAGCTAGGGACGACCAATGCCAGCCTGCCTCTCAACCGTAAGTAATGTGGACACGTGGCAAATGTTCATGGTTATTTGTTTCCACATACATGGATTCAAAAGCCAAAAAATAGTAGTATGCTTTTTTTCCCCCTGGTTTCTTCACAAGGCATATAAATACCATTGTGTTCCTCAGTACTGGGAAATAATTCATCTGGTTACTTATTCCATGCTGCAGAAGGGTTTCTGTTCTGAAAGTGATGGCACATTTTGGGGATATCAATGAGTTATGAATCTACACAAAACCCACAACTGAACCCAACCCGCCATCATGGTATAGAGACAGAATTAGCATGAGAAAATCTTTCTACTCAGAATAGTAATAATGGATCACTAAGGTACCACTGTAAACAAAGTTTAAAACTTTTTCAGCTAGTTTCAAGGAACATACTGAGCTGAATAACTGGGGTGTGCCAGAGCCCTGCTCACAGGTCGGTTTGTCAGTTGTCGGCCTCTGGTACAGAGAAGTTGCGGAGGACTTGAAGTTAAATCTTTTGGAAAAGACAATAAGCATTGTAATAGGCAAAGCAATGCATTGAGATTTTTAGCATGAAGGTTACCTAAAATGGGTCTCAAATGTCCTGCTTGAAAGACATTTTTACTTGTGAATTTGTAGTATTTCACCTTTGTTGAATATCTAGCCATCTGTTAATGGCATCCGAAGATGTTCGTAGTTGAACTTCACTGTTAATCTGTTCTGGTAGTGATAAAACTGAAAGAGAAAACTTAGAATATATCCTACACGCTTTTCTCTACATAAAGATATTCCTTATTGAGTGGAAATGTAGATTTTCAGTTGCTTAAATCCTAGGGTTATTGCCTTCTAGCCATGAAACTTCCTTCTGAATATACTTCCTATATGATATGTATTGTCAGGATATTCTAAATTACTGCAGAAGAGATGTAATAGGCAGAAAACAGCATGAAGCCTTTGCTGCCATTTTATTTACTATTTGAGAAATCATTAACAAAGTGGAACAAAGTTACACTTATTTTAAACAGAAAATGCAAGTAGTGAAAACAAAGGAATATTATGCCAGAAGCAGGTAGTATTTGGTGTATTTGCAATTCAGAGAAGGTAAAATGAAGGTTTGATTTAATTTTGAACAGAGCAGAGCTGAATCTGTCTGTTAGTTGCTGCCAGGATTTTATCAGTTTTAAATTATTGAGGTACCATGTAGCCACCCTTAAAAAGCACTTTGAGACGCAGAGATTGAAAATGTCATATAAGTACCAAATACATTGTTACAAATCATAAAAATAAATGTTCTCCATCATGAAAGAGATGGGATGTGTGAAGCAGAACAGTCTGAGAGAAAATACTGAAATCGGGGTCTGATCCTGACCTCACAGAATGAAATCTGGGGGTGATGTTAGCTCAGAGGTTTGACTGAAAGACCAAGATGAAATGTCTTATATTATACTATGTTTTTTTTAATCTAGTCAAAACAAGGAGAGGTTTCCAAAAGGTAGTGATCTAAATTTCAGTTGGGAATGAAGATCATTTGGCGGAGTTTTTTCCTTGCTCATAGTTTACATTAATGTTATCGAGAAAGAGTATCACTTAAAAAAAAAAAAAATTTTTTAAAAATCACAGGGTAGCAACTCATTAAGTAGGGACTCCTTAATCCTTCAGAGAGAATATTCTCTTGTGAAACACTACTTACATTTTATTTTGTTGGCAATGATAGCTGAACATATGCACTGGTTCAGGTATGTGGGGGGGGAAGTGTTAGCAGTTAATGGTTGGTTGTAATATCTGATAGTCTAATATAGGGCTAAATATAATTTGATCACCATGTTACTTGACAAAAGTTAAAAATTAGACATTGATGTCTTATTTCAGTGTGTATTTTAAACTGTTAATTGCATTGGTGCAATACAGTCTGAGATGTGGAGCGGTTGGAATAGCATCATTAGCACAGCTGCCAGTAATGGCCATGATTTGGGACCCCCGCCGCATGCCCCGCTGCTTTCCCGTGTGAAACTGCTGCACAGACATAGGGGTTTTTATCAAAAAGCTGTCATAACGCAGGAGCGGTACAAATCCTGAGCATGGAAGTCTACACACCTCCACTGTTAGGTATTGGCACCTTGCCCAATATCGCTAGATAATTGCTAATTGGTTGTTTCTGTCTGCTGTTGGGGTTTTTTTAAGAAAAATGTTTATAGCAGAGTTAAAAAATCTGTATTTTCTTTCTTTGCACATCCCCATGTAATATATAAATTATATTGTAGCTGTGCACAGTGGGAGCCTTTCTCTGGGACAGAGCTAATCATATTCTCCGTTGTTGGTGTCTGCATCCTATGCAGATATAAAACTCAAGGATACCAGAAAAAGGATTATTTCTTCTACTACCAAGAGGGCTCTGGCTTTCTGTGATCCATAAAGGCAACCTTGAGCTAACAGAAAGTCATAAAGTGGGTAAAGGGATGTCAGGACAAGGTAAAAGCTGATTTTGTGTGACTGCGGACATGGACTGGGCGAAGGAGATAGTAGATTAACGGAGCTGTACCTGATGGTGCCTGTGGGATGGATGGGGAAGGAGGAGAACTTGTCTGGGGTATGGCAGCTCACCCGTGGCCAGAGGACAGAGGACAACCCCACTGCTGCTGTGAGCTGGGGACACTCAGCAGAAGGTCACCCAGAGCCACTTCTGTCCCAGGGACAGATAGCCAGATCAGTTTGCAGAAGAACTTCATGTCTGGGGAGTTACGAACATCCCAGATCCCGCAAACGTAATGAAATTTATCATATCCCTAACTGAAGACTTGTTGGCCATGTCTAAGATCTAGCTATTAATAATAAATTCAGCAGCTGTAAAATAGAACGACTGACCCTTGCAGGAAAAATACAGAGAAGCAGTGGTTCCAATAAATTAATAATGAATGGCAACTTGCTAATTATTCATGGCTAAGTCCATGAATCTTTATCATCCAAATGTGTTGTTTTTTGTGGGTAAGTGTATGAAGTACGTGATCCTCCCAGACCACTCACATGAGGAGTGTTTGCTGGACAGTCCCATCCTGCCATCTATGGATCTAACTGATCAGATGTTTAGCACTGCCTATGCTGGCTTTTCCCAGAATTTCTGGTACTTAAGAAGAAGAAGAACGTAGTACTTTCCTGTAAATAAAGCATAGATTTGTTGATTCATTAAACCCAGGAGATGAGGTGTTACAGTGTGTAACCAAGGTAAGAGGTTCCATCTACAGGGGCAAGGAACCAATGGGGAATGGAATAGCAGATTTTGTAAGCAGATTTTGCTTTTAAATTAGTGCAATCTTAATTCAAGACAAAAGGCATTTTCCTACAAACAAATTTGCAAGGCCATTGCAAGGGGAGGGAGTTATCATTAACCATTGGCACTGAGGTAGGTTTATTCAACTGTTTTTCTCAAGCAGCCAAAACTGAGATGGTCTCTATTGCTGCTAAAGTAGCAACATCCTTACCAAGATGTCTCCTCTCCTGGCCAGGAGCCACAGTTGGTAGTGGATTTCTTACTCTCTCTTATCAAAGCTGAGTCATGGCAGAAGGTTTTTCCTACCTTTCATGGATGAGGACAAAGGTGGAGGCGTTGCTCAGTCCCTGCTCCCTGCAGCGGGACGTGGGGTGAGATGCTGCCACTACAAGCCCTTGATGAGCTGCTGGAGATCCTGAGCAGGCTCAGCTCTGCTCCATGGCACCAGAGGTCCAGGCTGTATAAGTCAGGTTGTAAGGTGCACCATTTTAGTATCCTGGCTCAGTCATGGGTGCAACGTCAACCCCACGCCTCTGCAAGCCTGTCCTCATCTCCTCTCTCCTCTGCCTGAGCACTTGTTAAATTAGGGCAGGAAATTGAGCAGTTGTTGAAATCTTGTATTTTTAATCAGCATGTAGATTTAATCTATACATCTATAGAAACTATAAATCTACTTAAGAGACTGTTCATAGAGGCATTAAATTCACTGCTACATGTGTGATCTCTGTGTGTCCCCTGAAGATATATCGTCCACAAAAGTCTGGATTCATGTAAGCCATCGCCTCGCAGAAGATTAAAATAATCATTATTTCTCTAGTAGGTATATATGTGTTTATTCTTAAGCAAAGATATTCTTTTTATTTTCTAAAGAGCACCTCCTATACATTCCCTATGCTATAAATAACTTGTCTGGTAAGAGGTACCTTTCTTAAGAAAACTTGTAATACAGAGGAAGCATCCATGTCTGTTACTAACAGCTGGCAAAGAAATTGCTTCCTTTAAATGGCTGGTTATATAATCCACAGGTGTTACTGACATTCAGGTTTATACAGAAATCTTAGATATATTGTCAGTAATTATTCAAAAATGTAAATAATTGTGAAGAGCTGCAGAAAAGGTCAGTAGTGACATTTGGAAGGAGAAGGAACATAGCAAGGTGTGTGAGAGATGTGGTAGTATTTTCTGTGCTAATTTAATTGCTGCAGCTAAACAGAACTACTTTATTGGATAAGCATCCAACTGTGAACTTATGGTTAGTGCAACATACTTATAATCTTGTCTCAAACATTTCTACATGCTAGGAAGCGCCAGACCGTGCCCTCAATTTATGTGTGTTGGTTGCATTGTGTCCTGGTTCCTACATAAAGATTCCCAATTAAACTGCTGTATTAATATTTTTAATACATTGGGTTTCATGTCTGAAATGCAAAAAAAAATTAATATTCTTCCAAAAATTTAAATTAACTCATTGTAAATTGCACATAACATGTAATAATATGCATGTTCCTCAGTGGCACTATGTATAATTGGTGTAGCGTTGGCTATATCTACTGGAACATCAAAGACTCAGAGTTATTGAGGGTATCTGCAGAGTGGTGTAATGGCCTTGCTATGACACATCTTCTAAATAAGGGAACAGGCAACAATTTTGCATGGTCATTTTCTGCTGTGCCAAATCATGAAAATCAAAGAAAAACTACGTTTAAGGGGACTTCAGAGATCATCTCAGTCTTCTGTCTGAGGGCATGCTCACAAT